TTTTTTTGTAGCGGCGCTTTCAAAATTTTGCAACAAAAAATTTCTGTAACTTTCCTCTCGGAAGCGCTTCGCAAATAACAAAAGCTGATCCGAAATCAGCGTTCCATGCTCTTTAACACAGTATTCATTTTGTATGGAAGCGCCACCTTGACCGGGTATCCCTTCCCTTGTAAGCTAAAAGATGCTCAGCAGTGATGACAACACAAGATTGGCAAAATACACGCAAGGGTGACTGCTCATACTCCGTCGCACCCGCTCGCGCATGTTATCATTTAGGCACTACTTCAAACACCCGAGCCCATAGAATGCCTCCAAGTGCATTTTCTATCTGTGACGAAATTTCTCAGAAAAACCTTTCATCTTCTTTTTTTTACTTTTGTACCCTTTGCAAACGTGTCGTAGCGGATGGTACTTCCGTGAACGGAAATGAACGAGTCAGTGCACCTAAGGAAACAGCCATAGGTCGCCGGGAACTATGTACGAGCTTGCCGGTGTTGCCCCGGATCAGAGACAGCTTACAATGCCCGCGAAGATAGAGGCTATGGTGTGGTCCACGACCGGCAACCTCGGCAACCTCGAACACAGTTGCCGTCAACCTGTGGCCGTTTCTTCAAGCAGAACAAGTGATAGTGATCTGGCCTTAGATTCCAATGTAGTTTAGTAGTGCTGCTCTCACTTTCGTCCACTACCGCAGGCGCATACATCAGCGGATGCGAAATTGGTTTACTACAAGAATTTGCTCCAGTCATAGTCTGGCGACGTTGAAATTATTTTGTTCCACACTAATTTGCTCAACCGATCGGCGTTCAGATCAATTTACTGTTGCAGATTTGAGTGCTGTGAAGAAAGTGTTATATCTTACCGGCACGATTATTCTGAAAGTAGATCTTTGCCAGTAACTATTCCCAGTTACCATACAGTCAACGACGGCGTAGAAAAATATGTGGTATGTTTGTTTGCTCATGATCCATTGCGTACTTATGCAGTTTAGGTGTTCAATCTGTACATGGCTGGCCGTCATCTTGGATCTAGACGGTATAGCGAGTTTGTGGAATTACATCAGCTACTACGCCGTGAATTCATAGACTACTCTTTTCCTAAGCTACCTGGAAAATGGCCGTTTTCATTGTCAGAACAACAGCTCGATTCTAGGCGACGGTATATATCTTTAAAGTCTCTAGGATTTTTCTTTTACCATTTTCAACCTAATTTAGAGGACTTGAAATGTATCTGGAGCGAGTGTGCTCTGTGAAAGTCATAGCTGACTCAGACATTATGCAGGTATGCTCCCTAATTTTTTTT